AGAGCCTAGCAATGAGTCGGTCCACGATAGGAGGCTGAGAGTCAGAGGCACATGAAGAAATCTGACTGTAAGTAGAACTCGGGACCAAACTAACAGACAAGTGGGCTGCACATACTCAGGAGTGGTCTTGGGAACAGCTACTTGCTTTGGAGCAGCCATTGACAGGAGGAAGCGTTTATCAAAGTCTATGTTCCCATGCTGGCGCACACAGCATGGTAGAGAGACCACGTGTGAATGAAACAGGATATGGAGCGAGGAAAAAGGTATAAAGAAAGGAGAGGTTTTTTTTTTCAGGTTCCCCCAATCGCATGGGCAGTGTAACGAGGCAACTTAGAAGCCAGGTGTAGGGGTCTGAGGTTGTTCTCCGGAAGACATCTCAGTGGAGAGCCTGGTTGAGTAGACCCATGTTCCCATGGTGAGGTGAGCAGTCAGATACTGAGCCAAGAGCATCCCGGAGGACAGAGGTACAAAAAGTGAACAGGTACAGGCTGTCCCAGCAGGTCATCACACCCTGGTCAGGGACAGAGAGCAGTTTTGCCGTGGCAGACACAGTTCACCCAGGACCAGGATTTTCGATAAAGAGTAAACCGTGCTGGTAGATGAGGGAATCTTAGGGGGAAGGGCCCAAATGAAGGTCCAAGGTTGGCGAAAATTGGTTGGTGTTGGATGGAGCATCTATGATTGGTGGACCAGAAAGTGAGTATATAGGCGGGCATAGAGGGGATCCTGGGGTGCCAAGACAACGGGAGAGCCCCCCCCATCACGGCACCAATGTTATAATAATGCTTAAAGGCACTGCAACATATTTGGTATAAAGGAAGTTTATGCTGGGAAAGGGAGAGGGGGGAACAGAGAGGGCAAGGAGGGAGGGAGGGAGAAGAGGGCACCCATGATAGAGAGAGGGGGAGAGAGAGAGAGAGAGCGCTTCGGTGGCAGGCGGGTCTTTTTTTATCCAGCACTCACCTAGCAGTGGTGACAGGTGATAACCTCAGAGGTTGCTAAGATCTGCCTGGCTGCCTCCGCCTCCCAGAGCGCTGGGATCAAAGGTGTGCGCCACCATACCCAACTCTGCCCTGGAGTCTTGACCCCCTATGAAAAGGAACCAAGCTGAAGCCATTTTGAATAGGGGTCAAATAAAGTTCAAGTTCCCTAGACCTCCCAGGCAAGTGACATCGTGCTTGGCAAAAAGAAACATGTATGTGGGTGACATCCACCCTGGTTGCTAAGTGAGACATGAATGCTGGGCAAATCGCCATGCCACAGTTCTGCAGTCCACCCAATGGGAACAGGATAAGTGTACCACAAAGACACACTCCTACGGAGGTCCCCTAACCCTAAATCCTGACTGGTGGGGAAAATGTAACTGTAACTTGGCACAGACTGTTTGTGGATTTTGGGCTTAAAAACTCCCATAGCATTCCGGTTTAGGGTCAAAGTTCAGCTCCTGAGTCTGTTCTATGGCCCTGATCGAACAGTAGTGGCCTGAGTACAATGATTTTGTGTGTGTGTCATCTGCTTAAATAGTAAGGTGAACATTCGAAGACACAGTCAGCTCCCAGTTCTGTGCTGTGGTCCCTCGCTAGTCCATTTTTGCTGCTTAATTCAAATAAAGCTGTTGCTTTGCTGTACTCTCGTACCTGTAGCGTGATTTATTTTGTGTGCCTGGCCCTTTAAAGGATCCCCAGTTGACCTCTGCCCTTCAGTGTCAGTTACCTCTTGGACCTCTGGGAAGAGGAGAGAATATAAAAAGCCAGCAGAGGCTGAGAGATGTTGAGGATTGGAGTAGGGTCAGAGAAGACAGTTGGTGACAATTGAGCCAGGAGATGCTGAGTTGAGCCAGGGAAGATACTGTTAGAAGACAGGAGAGGAGCCCACAAAGTAGCAAGGAAGAAGAAAAAAAAACAAAAAGCTACATGTGCCTGCTTGGGTTGTTTTGGATTCTCAGACACCAACACATGCTCATCAGAGATACCAAGATGATTTTTTCCTAAACCCTGCATAGCCGCAGCGATGACCCCTGCCCTCTGGCAGCTGGCCTCGGTCCTCTCACCCCGCTCCTCTAGGCCTGACTTAAATAAGCACAAAATGCCACTTCGACTTGAGCAGCAGGATCGACAGTGCATTACAGAACAGCGATGATGGGCTGAGGGCGCAGGCATTGGCGCAGGCGTACCCTGTAGACGGTCCCTGGCTGGGCCATACACCAGCGGGGATTCTGGGCTTTGAGCACTTCGGGCAGAGGCCGGAGGTGATTTCTGTGACCTCAAAAACCGGAATTCTTGTCTGACCGAGATGAAAAGCTGCTCTCCAAAAAACTAACAGAACAAAACCAAACAGCAAACCATTTCATGGTCATCCATTTGGAGGCTCTCTCTGCCCACTGTCTATGCTGCCTTCACCACGTACCCTCAGACCACAGGGGGTCCTGCTGCCAGCCTCAAGGGGTGGCACAGTCCTCAGGGTTTCAGATTCTAGGCAGCTGTACTTGCTGCTCCCCGTCCTCAGAATCACAGTTATCAGAGGCAAGGCAGGGATTGTTGGCAGTTTCTGCAGGCCTCACAGGAGGTGCTGTCCAGTCTTGGGGAGCTCAGGACTCCTTATCTTAGGGTTGATGTGACTACAGTGACCTCGGTACCCCACTGGCATCCAGACCATTAAAAAATACTCCCGGGGGCAGTGCCCAGCCTCAAAGTGTGGCAGCATTCTGGGAGATGCCATACTGAACCAGAGAAGGTCCCCGGGACCTGCCCATGCTATCTGCTTGTAGACACTTCATTTCTCCAGATACCTCCCACTACAGCTGTCAGCCCCGGCCTCCTGTCCCCGTGGTGTCCCTTCTTGAGCTTCTCAGGCTGTCCACCTAAGGCCAGCGCTCAAGGTGTGGACCTGTTAGCGCCCACCTGCCCAGCCCAGTTTCCCCTTGGCACGAGGACAAATGCAGTCAGTCGAGGCACTGAGCTCGTTTGGGGGGTCAGTGTGAGTATACAGGTGATCCCCCTACCTGTCCCAGGGACACAGCAGCGTCTTCCGTCATCACCTGCCCCTGCCAGCTGTGTGCTGGATAAAAGGACCAGCTGGCCACCCAGCTCTCTCTGTCTCTCTCTCCTCCCTCTGTCCCCACGCTCTGTCTTGGGTGCCTCCTTTCTCTCCCACCCCTTTCTCTGCCCTCATGGCCCATTCACTCTACTCTCTCCCTTCCCCAAGCCCCTTCCACTTCTGCAGGATGGGTGGGGGCACTTTCCTTTCTGTTGGCTGCAGATCAGCAAGTGAGGAAACAAGCTAAGGTCAGGGCTTTCTCAAAAGTTCCTGGTGTGTGAGAATTCTAAATGGGAGTGATGGAAGTGGACGAGGAGAAGGGACCGTGGGTGGGTCATTAGCACAGTGGCCAGTCTCATAAGGATCCTAGGAGGGCTGGAGAGATGGCTCAGTAGTTAAGAGCACTGTCTGCTCTTCCAAAGGACCCGTGTTCAGTTCCCATTACCCCCATGGCAGCTCACGACTATCTGTAACCCTAATTCCAAGAGATCTGATACTATTGCACTGACTAATGCAGATAAAATAAAATTAAATAGAAAAGGCCCAGGAGGAAGAGATCCGAGTAACAGGCTGGGCTCTGAGGAGAGCAGGCAGCCCTCTTCCACCACCATCTGTTTTAGTGTTTGTGTAACTGGCTGGCAGAAATAAGGATCTAAATAGACACTTGTGTCTCTCAAGCTGACTATCACACTGTTGGACCAATGGACCCTAAAGAAATGGGAACTGCCTCCAGGATTATCATACTGAGAAAATAAAAGACCCCAGCTAGAGGGAGCTGTCTCCCTGAAAGGCTCACGACTTCAGCAACTTGTCCAGCCATCTTACCGGATGAGATGGAAGCCGGATGACGTGACAGGGGCTGCAAAGATGTGCATACCAACTCTGACCCATTCAGGGCCCTGAAGATGGAGTCGGGGGCTTTGTTGAACCTCTCTGTCCCTCTTCCAAACATGACCTCCCTGAATAAATAAATCTCCTTTTTATGCATTTCCTTTTTTTGGTTTTTTTTTCCCCCCTCAAGGCAGAGTTTCTCTGTGTAGCCTCAGCTGTCTTAGACTCACTTTATAGACCAGGCTGGCCTCGAACTCACAGAGATCTGCCAGCCTGTGCTGAAAAAAGGCATGAGCCACCACCACCCAGGCTGCTTTCCGATTTTAAGTTGGTTCTTTTAATTGGCTTATTGAGGCTGGGTGGTCACACTGACTTGGTAAAGGCTGTGCCTCCCAAGTACAAAACATTAAGAGTAAGGTCTAGCAGCAAGCTTGGCTCTGAAGGCATGTGGGGGGTCTCGGTGGTTAGAACTTGTAGGGTGTTTTAGGCTTACGTATATAAGTGCAGTATAATTTAAGTGCCCTGGTGTACCACAATCCTGTGTGCACAAGGAGGCAGAATTCTGAACTCTTCTCAAACGTCACTGCCTCCATGAAGGTGGGCTCTAGAGAGGCTGCGTGTGCTATCTGAAGGGCTTAGGAGAGGATCGGGTGTGGTCTTGGTCATGCATGGAGGTCTCCTAGACTACTTAGCCTGGCCCTAATGGATAGCCAGCTTGGAAAACAGATGATACATCTTTTCCCTTGAAAAGACAAGCCTGCATGTCTGACATTCCTGACAGCCCTGACATTTCCCCAGGGCTGTCTGTGGGCACAAGGACCTTTGTGCTCCCAACTGAGGCAGGCACATAGGCCCCAAGTCAGCGGTCCTTGTCTCCTCAGCCTTTGATTATTCTACTCAGTCAGCTTCAGACAGTCCAGCCTCATCTGAGGGGTCCTCAACTGGGAGACTGTCTCAGCCACAGTGGCCCTCGGACATGTCCCCGGAGGCGTTGATTTATGTGAGAGGGCCCAGCCTACTGTGCACAGCGCCACGCCTGGGCAGGTGGTCCCGGGTTATGGAAGAGTATTGACTAAAGCACCAGCCGGAGAGATGGAGCCCCTAAGCAGCCCCCTGCATGGTTTCCGTTCCAGGTTCCTGCCTCCCTCCCTGGTGGGCTGTCACCTGCAAGTGTAAGAGGAAACAAGCCCTTTCCTCCCCAAGTCGCTGGCCCTCAAGGTTCATCGTAGCTGAGGCTAAGAGAATGAAGACAGCAGCCGTTTTCTCTAAGGTAAGAGAGGAGCGAGGCCATGCGGTCAGGCCAGAGCCTCTTCCCTTCCTGCCCAGCTCTGAGAAAACGCCAGAAGGCATCCTTAACTCAGCCATTTTATTGTGCTCAGGTAAAAGCTGCCCACCACTGAAGAGGGCGCAGAAGAGGCACGGGGTGAAAGTCGGGGGCGCTTAGGATCAGGTCTCCAGCAAGTCTGTCCAGTGTTCCTGGAAGGACAACGGCTTGGTCAGAGGTAGTCTAGGAGGGGTGGGGGAGGGTGGGGCCGAGTCGCCTCTCACCTCCTCTAATTCCAAATCCTCTTCCTCCTCGGTGTCCACGCGGCACTGCCCAACCAGGTGTCCCCAGAGGACTGACTTCCTACAGCTGCCAAAGGGTGCAGTCGGTGGAGACGGCAGAGGGAGGCTTCAGCGAGCCAGGGCCGGCACACGGGGGCACCTTTTCCCCCAGGCCTCCAGGCTGGGAAGGGGTCCCAGACTCACCTAGGACACCGGCCCTCCAGGGGCAGCAGCTGCCCGGGCTCCTCCTGCAGGAACTCCTCAGCCAGGCAGATGATGTGGGCCCTTAGGGTACAGCCGGGGTGCGGGCAGCACAGGGGGCCCTCTTCATCCTGTCAGAGGTGGCAGGTGAGCGGATACGGAAGTGGCCTGAAGCAACCGAGGGCAACACGCAGCCTGCGGGACAAGGAAGAGACAGGGAGAGAGCAGGACGCCCTCGAAAGAGCCGTGACTCCAGGAGGAGGTCAGGAACGAGCTCACTGGGGGGTCGGGGGCCGGGTGGGAGGATCTATCGGGCTCCCGGCGGGTTCTGATGGGTCAGGGTGGGTGCCCCTACCTGCAGCGCGCGCGCACACAGAGAGCAGCTGGGCTGGCCACCCGGATCCGGCTGGGGCTCGTCGCCGGCCTCCCTCGCCGCGAGCCGTTTCTGGACCGAGGGCCGGGCCGGGGGCGGCCCAAAGGCAATGGGCATGTGCGGCGGTGGCGCCGGGCAGAGGTCGTGCCGGAAGTCGGGCCGCAGCCAGCGCACGGTCAGAGGGAGGCGCGCCCACGGAGGAGCCCGGAGCATGTGCGCCAGCACGCGCAGGTGGAAGGCGAAGGCGGCCTCGCCGCGCAGGCGCGGCCCCACGTGCGTCAGGCGGCGCGACGCTTGAGGATGCTGCCAGGCCCATTCAAACTACGGGAGGGGACGAGCCAAGGCAAGGTCAGGGGGACCCTGGGCGAGGCCGTCCGGACAAATCCTACCCCCCAGTCTAGCTCGTTCTTAAGACACCTTTCTTGCCTGGCGCAGTGGCAGCGCCTTTAATCCCAGCGCTCAGGGCAGGCGGATCTCTGTGAGTTCGAGGCCAGCCTGGTCTACAAAGTGAGTCCAAGTCAGCCAAGGCTACACAGAGAAACCCTGTCTTGAGAAAAACAAAACAAAACAAAACACCTTTCTTACCCGAAGGGCGGCCACAGCAGACGGGAAACCGTGAAGGATTAGCACCATGTCCCTTGAGGAAAGAAGGGGCACGGTGAGTCCCCATGCCACCTCAACCCTGCCGGAAGCTGGATCCCCCCACCAGGCCTGTGCTCCAGTTCACACCGAGAGAGAGCAGTCACACCGCCTCACACCCCGGTTCGGACTTGAACCTTTCCTGGAGGTGTAAGGCCCCTGCACCTGCCAGCCTCGGGTCCTCACCAAGTCCGCCATCCCTCTCTGGAAGTTGTTCTAGTCCCAGCCTTGCTGACAGGGCCTCCGTCTCCTGATCCCAGTCTTTAAAACCATATTTACTGGTGCGTATTAACTACGAAATAACAGGTTATGTCGACCGTCGCTTACTTATCTTGATATCACTTATTATAATCACTTTCTTTCTTTTTTTTCTTTGGTCTTCTTCCTCATTCCAAATAGTTCTCTTCCCACTTTCACAACTTTCCTTTAAATCTCGAATGAGAGAAAACTTGAGGGATTTGCCTCTCCCTGAACCCAGTGATGGCCAGCTCCACCCACTTTCTCATCGTTATGCTGAGTCGGACTGCATTTGGGGGCGGGAGAGGTGCTTCGGTTCGGGGGAACCTGGGCTCAGAACTGTCTGTAACTCCCGTTCCAGGGGGTCCGGCGCCCTCTTCTGACCTCCGCAGGCATGGCACGAACATGGTGCACTTAAGAGGAAGGTTTAGCCAAACACTCACGAATCAAATAAAAATGAAACTTAAAAAGCAACTGCGTCTCGTGTATGTCACGTTTTCATCCACTCACCTGCTGGATGGGCACCGTGCTGACCAGTTTTAGATCAACTCGATATAAGGTGCAGTGATCAGAGAACAGGGAGCCTCCACTGAGAAGATCAGACTATGTAAGCCTGTAGAGCATTTTCTTCATTAGCGGTTGACGGGGAGGGCCCAGCCCACGGCGGGTGGGGCAGCCCCTGCGCTGGTGGTCCTGGGTCCCGTGGCCTTTGTATCTGCTCTTGTTTGAGTTCCTATCCTGAGTTCTTCCCATGACGAACAGCGACGGGGAAGTGAAAGCCAAATAAACGCTTTCCTCCCCAGTAAGCTTTTTCGGACATGGTGTTTCATCACAGCCATAGTAACCCCAAGACGGGCACCTTGGTTGATCCCAGAACTTGGTTAATGTGTTTACTTTTTCTTAGATTCGTTTTATGAATCTGTGTACGAGTGTTTTACTTGTATGTATGTATGTATGTATGTATGTGCACTGCGCACGCATGTATCTATGTATGTATGTGCACCACGCACGCGCCTGCTTGGCGCGGAGGTCAGAAGGCGGCGCCTGACACCCTGGCAGTGGGGTCACAAAGCGGCACTGAGCCTGTGGCTCCGGTCCCCCCGATTAACCATGCCAAATCTTAACCCGGCCTTGGCAGAGTGTTGACAGCCACAAGGTGCCGCCTCCCTGCCACGCTCGCCCGGGTGACAGGCCGGGCACCGCCCGCGATCACACACACACACGCCGGCTCCACCTCTGTTACTGCGGTCCTGCCCCGGCGGCCCGCCTCCTACCCAGCGCCTTCCGGCCGGGCACCGGCGCCCTCTTACCAGGGTCCTCGCCCGCTGGTCCGCCAGGCGCCACCTTTCTTGCGACCGGCGTTGTGCTGCCGGACCCGACGAGCAGGATTGACCGTGAATCCCACGTAAACGCGGCCCCGATGCCGAGGGTTCTGGCAGTAGAGCAGGTAGACCCCGAAGAAGCGCCCCGGGCTTGCTGCGTGTCCCATCCGGACTTTCTGGACCGAAGGTCCAAAATGAGGGGGTGGTTTCCGGAGCCTCGGACCTCGGAAAGGTCTGGATTTTAGGGGGAAAAAAAAAAGAAAAAAGCACTGGAACAAGGATGATCGTGCAGCGACCTGGAAACGCGGAGGGGGTTGGTGCGCCGCCTGCCGGCAGGAGAAAGATGTGCAAAGGCGGCCGGACGAGCCTCCGCCCTCCAGCCCGGCCCGGATTGGCTAACTGCTAGGCGGAAGCGCCGCCCCAGGAAGGGCGGAAGTGAGCGGGGGCGCAGGAAGTGGCTGCAGTGAGGGCGGAAAGCCGGGTGGTGGGCTCCGAGGCGAGGCCGTGTCCATGCCGGGCTGCGACTCCACCGCGCCGTGATCATGGAGCTCAGCTCTGACTACATCCGGGAGAAGTTGAAGCAGCATCTGGACGCAGAGCACGTGGTGAGTGCGGGGTCTGGGGGTCGCGGGCGGCGGGGAAGGGCTCCCGGGCGACTGCCCCATCGTCCGGGTCTCCTGTCGGCTAGGAGGTGGAGGACACGACTGTCAACCGTTGCGCGACCAGCTTCCGAGTCCTGGTGGTGTCGGCCAAGTTCGAGGGAAAACCGCTGCTCCAGAGACACCGGTGAGCCCCTGGAAGCCCCTCGTCCGGCGCGGCGTCGGGCTCGAGACGGCAGCCCGGTCTCCGTCCTCCCGGGTGGGAACTAACTCACTCCCAGAGCCCCCGCCGTGTGGCCCATAACCCTGAGGGTTGCTCCTGCCTTTCTGGTTGGAATTCTGTGCCCTCCTCGAATCCCCACTTCTTGGAGACATCTCTGAGCTCCTTGGTTATGCTAGCTTCGGAGCCCACCACCCCAGCCGAGGCCGGTCATTTTCCAATCCCATCTCTCGCCCCAGGCTGGTGAATGAGTGCTTAGCCGAAGAGCTCCGCCACATCCATGCCTTTGAGCAGAAAACTCTGACCCCAGAACAGTGGACCCAGAACAGTGAACGTCGGAAATGTGGGGCCCAGGCCTGAACAGCCATTAAATTGTAAATCTGGTCCAGCTGGTGTCAGTGTGCTGTTTGAGGACGTGGCTTTTCCCTGACTCTCCTCCAGCCGTCTTTTTTGGCAAATTGGTATGGATTTCTCTCCTGAGCCCTCTAGGTCCCAACTTAAACCAATGAAAGTTCTGTTCTTAAGTCTCTGTCAAGGTTGCCTTATAAGCCTTCACTGTCAGTCCGTGTTGTCCCTGTACTGTCACTAAGGTCAGCCCTCAAACAAACAAACAAAAACAGAGTGTTCCTGCTCTGCCAGCCCTCAGGACCAGAAACCCCAAGCATCTTCCCATGTCTCCCTTTCTCCAGCACCCAGAGGTATCAGAGACAAGATACAGGATTTCTGTCAGGTTGTCAGTCTCTTTACAGGCCTCAAGAGGCCTGATGGTCACTCCAGATATTCAGTCCCCTCCCACAACCAATTCCTCACCATTGTGTATCTCTGGATTTGTTTTGTTTTGTCTTTTTTGTTTGTTTTGTTGGTGTTTTGTTTTTTGAGACAGGGTTTCTCTATGTGGCCTTGGCTGTCCTGGACTTGGTTTGTAGACCAGGCTGGCCTCGAACTCACAGAGATCCACCCGTCTCTGCTTCCCAAAGTGCAGGGATCACAGGTGTGCACCACCGCGCCTGGCATTTGTTTTGTCTTTTACACAGGGTCTCAATATGTTTTCCGGGCTGTTCTTAAATCCATGAGCTCACATGATCCTCTTGCATTGGTGTTCCATGCAGCTATGAATACATGTCACCACCAGCCTCAGTTCTTCCCCATACAGTCAAGGACTGTCCCTGCCACTTGATTAAGCTGGGGTCATAGTAGTCACTGCTCATGCCTTCTCCATTCCCGGTATCATTTTCTGAACATTTTTAGTTCCTCTGGAGGACTGATGATTCAGTCTACTCACAAGGACCCCAAAAGGGGACACAGGAAAGATGCAGAGAGTAGCCTAGCCTGTGTCCCCAGACGACTGACCCCTTCACTCCCCAGATAGCTCTCCTCCAGTTTATAGGGTGGGAGGGACTTGCCCAGGATCACGTGCCCCGTCAGAAGGTGAAACACAAGTGGGAAGGCAGATAACTCCGTGGTGTACTGAAGAGGAAAGAGGCTGGGGTCCTGGGCACACTCTGCATTGTATGAATTCGGCCCAGTGATGGCCATGGCATCCCCTAGAAACGCTCTGTGTCACCCCAGCCCTGGGATCTCCCACCGATGGGGCACCAAAAGCTGCTTGCACACCAAGAGCACTCCTTCAGAAAGCATGCATCCAAATAGCTGTTCAACGGAGTGTTTGCCTAGCATTCGTGAAGCCTAGGTTCAGTCCTCAGTGCCATAAACACCAGGCATTGTGGTGCACCCAGGATAGCACTGGAGAGGTAGACGCATCAGGCGCTGAAGACTACCCGGCCTATGTGAGACAGTCACAAAACACAGAAACAAACACCTTACTCCTGTCAATGGCGTTGAAGAGATCTGTTCTTTCCTGTTTTCCTTAGAAGCCAGGTCCTCTGAAACGCACAGGAAATGCTTGGAGGCAGCAGGGGGATGCTGTGAATGACAAGTCATGCCTAACCCATGACTCCAGAAATCCCTGAGCAAACTCCGCTCTGTGTTTCAGTCCAGAGTTAGGCTGTTTCCTTTCTAAGTTTTGTCCTTAGGCTACGTAGTCTTTGTTTTGTCTAATTTTTTTTCCCTCAATTTTTTGTTTGTTTGTTTTTGATACATGGTCTCTCTCTCTGTGGCCCTGGCTGCCTGGAACTAGGAGATCTGCCTGCCTCTGCTTCCAGAGTGCTGAGACTAAAGGCGTGTGTCATCACACCTGGCTTGTTTGTATTTGTGGGTGTGGGTTGCTTGTGGAGGGTGTCAAAGTCTCCTGAAGCTGGAGTTGCAGGTGGTTGTGAGCCGCCTGATGTGGATGTCGGGGATCTGAACTCTGGTCCTCTGGAAGGGCAGCAAGTGCTCTTAGCTGATGAGCTGTATCTCCAGCCTAAGGTAAATTTTTACTTCTCTATGTGTGTGTGAATGTATGTGCATGCAGGTATACACTGCGACACACACGAGCGGAGGCCAGAAGAGGGCATCAGATGTCTGTCCTCTGTCACTTTCTACTCACTCCTTTGAGGCTCACTCTAGCTCTGAACCTGGTGCTTGTGTCTTCTTTAGGCTGACAGCCGGCCAGCCCCAGCAGTCCTGTTTTATCCACATCAGAGCTTGGGTTTCAGGTGTCTGCAAGCTTACCCAGCTTGGGTTCTGGGATCCGAATTCCAGGCCTCGGGATTGCAGGGCAAACACTCGAAACCACCAAGTCATCCTTCCAGCCTCCCCCCTCTCTCTTTTGTTGTTGTTTATTTCAGTTGTTTTTCTGCTCTAGGCTGAATTTCTGAGCCTCCTGCATCATAGGTGTGCCATACCTGCTTCAGGCAATGGGAGGGATCAGGCCCAGGGCCCTGTGCGTGCTGCCAGCCAGGCCACATCCCAGGACCCATCTGTTTTCGTCCTGCTTGGTTTTGACGCATCTCACTTTATAAGCACTCTCCGTGGCTTGAACCCCACAGCAGTCCTGCTCAGTCTCCCAGCGCTTGGATGACAGCTGTGGCCAGTCAGGAGTCTAGTTCCTTTTGTTCTCTGAGGCTATAGTTTGAAAACCGCCACCGTCACCGTGTGTTTGTTGGTTTCCCCACAAACAACAGTGTCGGTGTGGTCGTGTGCAGTCTGTGCTGGAGCTAACCAGGACATGCTAATCTGGGGTCAGGGCTGGGGCCATAGCTAGAGTGATAGAAAGTTTTCATAGCATATTCACAGGCATGACTTTGGTCCCTAGCACTTCCAAAGAAAACACAAGAAAAGGTTTGGGGCGACTGTGGACCTTCTTGGGGCCATAGGATAGGGATTTGGATGGCTCAGACCTCCCACTCTGAGATGGAGTTAGGAAATAGGAACCGTCTCTCGGCTCCATCACTGCAAGTACCCTACCAACGAAGGCCCCACTCCTATGCATTCGGAAGTGACCCGAAACCCGGCTGGGGATAGCACATTCAGAACCATCAAGGGGAAGCATTGGGAAGCATTGGGCTAGTCAGTTCACCAGAGTCTGAGAGCTACCAGAAAATAAAGCCATTTTATTATTTCCGTCTTATTCACCATATGGCCTGAGGGTTGAGATGGGAGCAGAGTGAATGGCTGGCCCCCGCTGAAGGCTCTGGGGTCCTTTACTTGGCCTGGACAGTCTCCTCCAGCCTGTCCAAGCGCTCTTGTAGCTTTTGCACCGTGGCCTGCAGATTCCTCATCTCTTCCTCCAGCCGTGACACGGTGTCCTGGGAGACCCAGCACTGCATTAGGCCCAGCTTTTCTGTAGCTTCCCTTCCTCTTGACTTCATCTGCCCTTTCCAAGGGTTGGGCCCTTCTGGCCCAGCAGCTGGCTAATTTGATGACTGCAGGCCTGTAGGCTTGCAACCTGGCTTCTAAGGCCTCCGGGTCACCCACTCCTTCTCCAAGAGTCTCCTGCCATTAGGAGCCTGAGCATCCCTGAACAGCAGGCTCTTTCCCTATGGGACCCTGAACACTTCCGTGCAGTCTCTGCCCTAAGACATCTTCCTGGCCTCTCGCCCAGCTCCCCACCGGCCTTACCGAGCTGGGCGTGCCGCTGGCCTCTGGGGCAGCTCTTCTGCGAGCACTGTCCAGGCCCCTGTTGACTCTCAGCTCCCGGCTCTTGGGGGGGCACGTAGCCATCCTTGAGGGAAATGAGGAGGGGGCCGGCATCCCGACCGCCCAGCCACTCCTCGGCTGTGAGGGCAGGGTCGGGTCCTGCGGTGGGTGGATACAGGTCCTCCTGGAACAGGTCCGACTGCGGGCAAGGCCAGGGCTGGTCATGAGAGTGTTTATAGTCCCGCCCCACCCTAGAAGCCCCTATGGTCAGTTCCCGCCCCAGCACCCAGGGAGGGGCACAGGAGCCTCACCTTCCTAGGCACTGTCATGGCAATGGGCTCACATTTCCGCTCATGAAGCTTATAGAATCTGTGGAAACAGGAAGGTGAGCGGCACCATACAGCATGGCTGGTTGGATACTGAAGGTCTGGTTAGCGTCAGAGGGTCAGTCACCTGGCAATCTCACACTTGTTCACTTCCAGGCCACGTTTGGGCATATAGCCCATCCCACGCTGAGACTCCTTGGAACTGAACATGGAAAGATAGTGTAGGAACGGAGCCTCGGAAGTGATCTCAAAATACCGGATGGAGCTGTCACCCTGTGGGTTGTATGGACAGGAGAGTCAGTACCAGCCTTTATGCCCACCTCCCTGCCCCCGGCCCTCCTGCCCCAGTCACCTTGCCACAGAGGTAGACAATGTTGGTGTCGGGGTCAAAAAAAAGGCAGCAAGACTCCACTGCTCGTGTCCAGTTCCTGCAGGGACAGTGGCTCCTCCAGGTGCTTCTGTGGGGGCAGGTGGGGATAGCGACAGGCCGGGCTGTGTCAGCTCTTCCCAGGACAGCAAGCAGGCAAGGGCCCTCCGACTCCCCATCTCCCAGGTAAACTGAGGCCGTGGTCATGCAATAGGGCAGATGCCCAGCCCACAGCTTCCCGTTTCCCAGCACTCACCGTATCCCACAGCGCCACCTGCCGCTCACTCATGCGGCTGAACCCCGTGGTGAGAATCTTCCCTTCCGACACAAACACAGCGTGCACTGGCCGAGTGCCCTCATGGGGGCGGTCCTTCTCCTGAGAGGAGAGAAAAGTGGTAGGTCAGCTTCTCCCAGGCTCGCCAAGGGACCAGATCGTGTAGGTGGAGGGAGAGCAGCATCCAAGGGCCAAGGTTTTAGCTTCAAGGCAACTCACAGCCACGACAGTGCCTTTGCGAGGCTCGATGATGCGGACACGCTTGTCACGGCAGGAGGTACAGATGAGAGCGCCGTCCCGGCTCCAGTCCACACTGTAGATCGTGTCCGGGTGCACATCCGGGCCCAGTGTCAGCACTGCCGCCCCGGTGCCCACATCCCATACCAGGATCACATTG